TTAGCCAACAATTCACCTTAATAACCATAAAGACGACTATGCCACATAGGTGACCATTGAAGAATTGTAGAGTTGGAAAGGTTTCCGCTTTTTTTTTTCATCGCTGATACCATGCTGGAATTTGTCGAGCCGTTTGAGGTGGTGCAATTGGGGGTGAAATTAAAAAAATCATAGAAGCCACAAATGACATTGTACACCTTTCTGCTTGGGATATGTTATGTAGTTTGCTCTTTTCTTCATCCCTGATACCATGCTGGAGTTTGTTGAGCCCTCTGTGGGGGTGCAATTGGGGATGAAATTTAAAAAATCATGGAAAATATTTAAAAAATAAAATAGAGCTTTGAAGAGGGAGTGTCTTGTGTCTTTCTACTTTTAAGGTTTTTTTTGTTTGATAATTTTATAGTTTTTTACTTCTTGCCAAAATTAAATAAGTCCTTTTCAATTTTCTTTAATGGAACCACCTATGTTTTATTTTCATTTCTTAATCAAACATGTTTTAAGATGAACATTTTAAATAGTAATTGTCCAAATTAATAGTCACAAAGCAAATTCTCTTTATACCCTCATTTTATTATTATTTAACAATATTTTTAAAATTTTAAATCATTATGCTGTGAAAACAAAAAATGTCACTTCCAGAAAAATAGAAGTGATTCTGAGCTGAAATAATAGAAATATGGACAATATGTTCTTATATAAGTTTTCCGAAATTCAAAATTATATCTTTAAAATCATGAAAGGTATTAAGTGTATCCTCATCTCGATATTATTACCTGGTATATAACTTTTACATACTATAACTATAATAATAATAATAATAATAATAATAATAATAATAATAATAATAATAATAATAATAATAATAATAATAATAATAATAATAATAATAAACAAATTGGTACGACCATATTCCTAAAAGCGTCGAAACCAAAGATGACATAACAATAATCTGGGACACCCAAGTACAAACAGACAGAACAATTAATGCCAATAAGCCAGATATAATAATCAAAGATCTAGGTCAAAAAGTCTGCTATATTATAGATGTGGCAATACCATCGGACAATTCAGTTACTCAAAAGGAAGCAGAAAAGAGACTGAAATATAGAGATCTACAAATAGAACTAAGTAGGATGTGGGGCTTAAAAACTATAATATTACCGGTCATCATAGGAGCAACAGGAACAATTCATAAAAACTTTACAAATATTCTTAAGACTATACCTGGTAACGCTGACCATAAAACAACATACCAGCTACAAAAAACAACAGTATTAGGCACAGCACACATATTAAGAAAAGTAGTAACATAATTGTAACAGAAGCGTCTCTACCTGAGGAAACAGGCAGTTTCTTGGAAGAAGACGAAATATACCCGAAAAACAACGAAATCGGAGAAGAAAGAAAAATAATAATAATAATAATAAATAAGCACTGAAGGATGAGGTATAAATAAAATGTTCTACAAATTAAATTACTGCACTCTTTTCTAGATTATAGTACGGAGTTGGACCGTGGACCCTTTTATTAAAATAAACTGCTCACGGAATTAGTCGGTACATCTAGTTGTATCGTCATTTGTAGGAGATTGTATCTCAGAAACGTCTTGGCCGATTTTTAAAAATGAAGAAGGTTCTGAAAGTTCATTATTTCTTGTATCACTGACTTGATGTGATCTTCAGTAAAAAGTAATTTTTCAGTGTTATAAAGGGTGTAAAAGAATACAATGTAAAAATGTAAATTTTTAACTGCCTGTACCTGTTGCAATAGTAATTTCAGAACTTTCATCGTAATGACATTTAGAAGTTTTAGTCGATAGCTCGGGACGTATAGTTCTGTATTTTATTGTTTAAAAAAAAGTTACAGGGTATTTTCAAAAAGTCCACATTTTTTAAAATTACAAAAATTATTAATCTCTAGGAGCTCTTTCATTTGATGTGGAACTTTTGTGGACCTTATTATCTAGCTTTTATAAGAAGTACCATAATTTTAGCTCCTTCCAAATTATCCTTCAAAATGTGAATCTTGATGTCGCTATTAAGTCAGATATTAATTTAAGTTTTTATTGCTGAGATCTGGTGAAATTTGCCATCCATTCAAAACTTTTATTCGCTTAGTAGGCTATGGAAAAAAGCAGTTTAACAAAAACCATGGAAATGAAGCTCAAAATAATGATAGTAATTGTCATCTGAATAAATGTGACTTTGCAATTTTTTTCATTACGTAGTTTATCTTAAAAATTCCTTTAAGTGAAAATGAGTTACGAAACATTATGTGGTAAGTTTTATAATGCAATTTAAGGAGGTCCTTTCGTCACCCCTTTCGCCACCAATGTTAAATAAAAAATATTAGATTATGACTAAAATTTATTTTTTTTCTAATAGTTGAAGTCTTTATTTATCTAATAGTGAACTTTTAACTATACCTTACCGTGCAAATTTTTGAGATTTTTTTTTTTAAAAATGTGAGTTTTTGTACAGTGTCTTACGAGAAAGTAAGACCTCAACAACAATTCTCGAATTATACTATTATTTATTGATTAGATGGGGTAGAAAAAAAACTAAAAATAAGGTTTTTGAAATATTTAGGTTTTGTTTTTTACAATAAAATATATAGGTTACCGTGGAATTTATTGAGAAATTAATATTAAAAAAAAATTCAAGTAACCTAGTTGAAAATTTTTTGTTATTTTTTAATATTAATTTTTCAATAAATTCCACGGTAACCTATATATTTTATTGTAAAAAACAAAACCTAAATATTTCAAAAACCTTATTTTTAGTATTTTTTACTCTGTCTAATCAATAAATAATAGTATACTTATTTATAATTCGAAAATTGTTGTTGAAGTCTTACTTTCTCGTAAGACACTGTACAAATACTCACATTAAAAAAAAAATGTCTCAAGAATTTGCACGGTAAGGTATAGTTAAAAGTTCACTATTAGATAAATAAGGACTAACAATTAGAAAAAAATTAATTTTAGTCATAATCTAATATTTTTTATTTAACATTGGTGGCGAAAGGGCCTCCTTAAGAGGGCTTCATTAAAAAAGATATTTCAAACAGATTAAGACAACGAGAATTGAGTTTAAAACATATCGCTGACTTGGTAAGGACATCAAGATCCACAGTTCAAAGAACGATAGAAAGAAGCCAAAATCATGGTACTCCTGTATATAGAAAAATTCGGCAATACGGTCGCAAAAGATGTACAACCCCCAGGGAAGATCGTCTGATGAACCTATTTGTCAGACGCAGAAGAACTCTTAATGCGACACAAATAAAGGTTGAGACTACAAGAGATAACGGGAACGATAGTGTCGATCACTACCATCAGAGACCGTTTGCACGAACGAAATTCAAACGCCAAAAGACGTGCTACATGTCCTTCTCTTCAGCCTGTCCACCGAGTTTCTCGAATGATATGGCCTCAAACACATTTGAACTAGGGAATAGCAGAATGGAGATGTTGCATGTTTACTGATGAATGTCGCTTTGCACTGTATAGAACGGATGGTCGAATGTTAGTTTGGAGAGAAAAGAATGAGCGGTACATTGAAAAGAATATGGAAGCTAGAGTGCCGTTTGGAGGAGGAAGTATGACTGTATGTATGGGGTGGGGTAATGAGGATTGGCAAAACTGATTTGGTAGTTTTGATTAGACAAAGTATGGATGGCGTTAGGTATCGTGATTTGTGTGTGAATGAGATTGTCGTTCCCTTTGTTCAGAACTTTGGCGAAGATTTTATTCTGGTGGACGATAATGCTCTTCCATACAGGGCTCAAATTGTCCAAGAATGGTATCGAGCGAATGAGTTGGCCTGCTAGGTCACCGGATATGAATGTAATTGAACACGTGTGGAGCAGAATGATACTAAAACTAAATCAAAGAGAGCAAGAATTACAAAATTTGGAAGAATTGGCAATTGCAGTTAGAGAGGTCTGGGAAGCTATTCCTCAAAAGTTTATTACAAACTTGGTGGACAGTATGCCGAGAAGAACAGCAGAACTTTTGCAAGTACGAGGTGGGCTTACTCGATACTAAATTGTTAGTTAATATTGTTTTTCTTTGTTTTTTTTTTTTAATTTAACTGTAAGCTGTTTTTTTAAATTTTGGATTGTCCCGGGAATTTAGGGACACACCATATGCTAAGGATAGGTTAGCTTTTTCAAATTTGTGTTTCGTGCCATTCTATTGAAGTAAAATAAACTTATTTAAACTAATATTGTAATTTTTGAAAATGCGGACTTTTTGAAAATACCCTATAACTTTTTTCCTAAACAAAAAAATACAAAACTGTCAAATACGTCCCGAGATATCGACCAAAACTTTTAAATGTGATTACGATGAAAGTTCTGAAATTACTATTGCAACAGGTACAGGCAGTTAAAAATTTACATTTTTACATTGTATTCTTTCACACCCTGTACATCACCAAAAAATGATTTTTCCCTAAAGATCACATTAAGCCATTGATACAAGAAATAGTAAACTTTCAGAATCTTCTTCATTTTTAAAAATCGGCTAAGGCCTTTTCGAGATAGTCTCCTACAAATGACGATAAATTAGCTGTACCGACTAATTCCGTGAGCAGTTTATTTAGAAATTGTATACTGAACGAAAGGAGGACAACTGCACCTTTTAACAATGCTTTTGGGCTATTTTAAAAAGCCATTTATCGTACTTATACTTTATACCAAAATCTTATCCTCAACCGCCTTACGCAACCTGCGTTTCGGTTTCGGTAAACTGACCTAGTAAAAACTTTAAAATAACCAACAAATCATACTTAAGTAAACACCGTACATTATTATAGTTATATAGTCAATTATGTACCTCGTTCTAATTATAATACACACACGTACAAGACATACAACAATACAAAATATATATTTCAAAAGAATTTTTGTTGTTTTGAGTCGCAAGCGTTCGCGCCATATCGTGCGCGTCCGTACGCAGTTTAGCTACCCGGAATCGAGAGATCCAGTGCATCATAGTATGTCGCGACCGAGGAAACGTTGCCGCCTTCCGAAATCGGCCTCTATTATACCCGCCGTTTGAAAAAGACGTCGAACCACGGCGCGCTAGATTTGAAAGTGTGTTTGTTGTCATCGTCGTCGTCGTTTGTTTATTTTTTGATCCGATTGATTAGATGGGCGATTGTTTGTCAATTAATTCGCGAAAAAAACAAGCGAGATAGAATTGATGTGGTCAAAGAGTGCGTGCGAGGTGTGCTTCGGTTGAATTTTTTTGTGCAGGTGCGTGAACCTGTTGTGTTGTGTATTGTTCGGGAGCGAAAAAGGATTACGGGATTTATTTTTAGAGCCGCCCAAGAAGCTGGAAAAGTTGGTCGGTGATTAGATTAGATTATGGTGATAGTTAAAATATTTGGATGTATCAAAAAAATCAGTACCTGAATATTAAATTAATTTTGAAAAATACCCATTAGAAATATTTTATTAATTTTAAAGATATAATAAACAAAATGTTTTTTCTACGTACGCCACTGTAAATGTCAAGAATTGTACTTTAGTAAGCTGTCTCTTAAATACATGTAGGTACGTAAATATTTTGTTAAAGGTCTCAAAAGTTCGAAATCTGGTTTGATGTAAATTGATCGAAAACAATTGCTCGAAATCAATTGCTCGAAAAATTGTTACTCGAATGGACAATTCCTCGAATGCCTAGTTACTCGAATAACAATATCTCGAAAAGACAATTCCTCGAAATAAGAAAATAAGTTACTAAAATAAATGTACACAAATACTTCTTTTTGGGCAATTGTATACCGTACATTGTTTACAAGGTAATACTGCTGTGCCGCTAATTTACGCGCTTCTACCAAATAAAACTGAGGAAACTTATTCAGAATTATTTCGCAAAATTAAAGAATTTATACCTAATGCAAATCCAGAAACAATAATGACCGATTTTGAAAGTGCTGTAATTAATGTCGTGCATGATGTATATCCCGAAACCAGACACAGGGGGTGTTTTTTTCCATTTACGTCAGGCAATTTTCCGCCATATTCAATAAAATGGTTTAAAAAATAGATATGAAATAGATGCAGACTTTGCACTAAAAATTAAAATGCTCCCTGCTTTAGCCTTTGTACCTGAAGAACATGTAATTCAGTATTTTGAAGATTTGTGCGACGGAAATGTGTTCCCTGGAGAAGGACAACCCGTAATAGAATATTTGAGGACACGTGGATCGGTCGCCCAAATCGAAGATATCGACGTCCACCTCGTTTTCCTTTAAATATTTGGAATTGTTACGAAGGTACTCTTGAAGGTAAACCAAAAACTAACAACAGCGTCGAAGGTTGGCACAGAGGTTTCCAAGAATTACTTTCGGCGAATCACCCTAGAATTTGGAAATTTATAAATGCTATCAAAAGACAACAAAGCTTTAACGAGTTGAAAATAGAACAATTTTTATCTAGCATTGAACCTTAAATGGGTAGTTGTAAATATCGCGATTGTGCGGCAAGAATAGGGCACATAGTGCAAAATTTTGAGTACAACGTAAATATTGAAGGATATGTTCGCAGTCTTGCTCACAACATTGGTTATTAAGTGCCCATTAGTGTGTGGAAGTGCAATAGCTTACTTTGGATAAAATATACAAAAAAATATTTAAATATCCAGATAACAATTATACATTCTTAGCATATTCTTAGTATATACTTTTTAAGAAAACGCATATGCTGAGAATATACTGTATTTGCATTTGGTACATTCTCAGAATATGCTAAGCATATGCTACGTGACGTTGTTTATAAGTGCTATGCAGATACTGAGAATGTACTTCAAGTATGTGTACAGTTTGCAACAGGTATCTACTTTAATTTGATAGTACGTTCTAAGTATATGCTAAGTATTTAAATATAGCATATGGTAGGCATATACTAGACACCTCAATACAGGATGTTTCATTAATATTGAACATTAAAGAATAAGTGTATATAATGAGTCTTTATTTCAAAGAATTCATACTTATTTTTATTACAAATACTATCTTTGGCCTTAACCAATCAATATTTTATTGTATCAATTGCTTGAGTTTCATTTGATTGATTCGATTGGATCTTCATTGAACCTAAAAAGTAAAAAAAATTAACAAACTTGGTACATATACAAATTAATATTTGGGATATCCTATATTCTAACGTCACTTATAGGTCCTAAAAACTATAAATATAGTAAAATTTGTTTATTTTTATATAGAACGATGCAATTAATTTTTATTAATTTACTTACCTCTTACAAACAAACGAGATCAAAAATTTGTAGGAATTGTAGGTTATGTTATTCTTCTTCTCTTCTATTTTAGTTTGAGAATGTTTTTTGGCCTAAACACTCACCATTAGAGCGTTTGATAGCGAATTATTAGATCGGCATCTGGGAACAATTCATATAGATGTATATAAACTTGTTTTTACATGTATTTGGTGTTAATTTTTACATGTTGGGTATGTGACTTTTAGTATCTTCTAAGAATGTCCTGTTATAGCACGTGCTCAGTATATACTTTTTGGAATATACTTTTAAGGCACGTACTCAGTATATACTTTCTAGAATATACTTTCAAAGTATATTCTAGAACTTAAAAAGGACGTTCTTGGTATATTCATAGAACATTGATGTTATGTGGGTAAAAGTTGTTATATTTGCGCAGGTACACATTTCTAAAATAATTTGAGATATACAGGGTGTTTAGCCTAAGCGAGACAACATGAAGTAAGCTTTTTTAAATAGGACACCCTGTATATTTGTTTACCATCGAATTCAGTACAAGGTACTCTCTAAAATTTACTGTTTTTAAGAAAATTGTATTTTTAGTTTATGATTTAAAAATATTCATGTCTACACACTAATGGGTCATCCTGTATATTTGTAAATAAAGTTAAATAAATTTATTCTAAGTATAAACACATTTTATAGTGCTTTTAATAATTTTGTATTTGTAATAATTTAATAAATTTTCTTTAAATAACTTATTTTCTTATTTCGAGGAATTGTCTTTTCGAGATATTGTTATTCGAGTAACTAGGCATTCGAGGAATTGTCCATTCGAGGAACTATTTTTCGAGCAATTGATTTCGAGCAATTTTCTTTCGAGCAATTGTTTTCGAGGAATTTTCCGTCACCCTCGAAATCTATACCTGTTTATAAAAAAAGGACTCTATGGTATTAAGAATGATAGGAAACATTATTTGCTATTGCATATTGCATTAGGTTACTTTAAGTTTTAAGGACACAAAAATATCTGTCATTCAATCAACATGGTTTTACAAAAAACTACTCAACCTTCACTGCTATGGTCTATCTAAATGACTTCATCTATGATTATTTATTTAATTAACAAGTATCGCTTTATCGACTAAGTCGGGCTTTTGACTTAATTAATCGCTGTTGGAAAAATCGGAAGGAATCAGTGTGAGAGGTACTTCTAATGACTTGATAAAAAATTATCTCCATAATCGTTAACAAGTACCTAGTGCAGTGTTGCCGAATCTAAAATCTAAAATTTCCCATCGCTTAATCCCTAAATATCCACTTTATCCACCCATGGTTTTAAAAATTGTCCACTTTTCCACCCATACTAAAATACATGTTTTCGATATATGTTTTCTCGATAAAAAAAGTCCTGCATCACTTATTAATAAAATATTAAGAATTTGCAAAATACTTTTAAATTACAAGAATTAAAAAAAGTATAAATCATTGTACTTGTTCAATAAATAATCCAAAAACGAATTGTTAAAACATGTGCATTGGATTTTTTGGTTTTTACAATTTTGATGGTTGCCCAAATGACGCAACTTTTTTTCGTAATACTAATAACAAAATTGTTCCATTTGTTCAAAATAATTTAGGTGACATACTGTATTGTCACCACTGAACTGTAGTGATTGAGTAAGAAATAAAAGTATACCTCTGAAAAAAAAAAACAGATTATTTCAAACACTTTTTAAACAATGTTTAAACCAGTAGCGGCTGATGGTAATTTAAAATGGGTGTTCACTTTTTCCAATAATTTTATCATTTGTAAGTTCGGATCAAACTTTGTACAAGAGTCAATATCGCTGTTTTTTTTTATTATTTGAGTTTGTATTAAGTGTAGTTATTATTATCAACATCATACTGTTTTCAAGCACTACAACTATTAATAAATGAATATTTTAGTTAGTATAATATTTGTTTTGTTTTTAATACGTTAAAAGCCATCTATAAACATTATTAGTTAGTAAACTGACTTTTCTTTATAATTTGAGATTAATTTTAAATATAGATCAGGTTATGTAGAAATGATTTTTGTGTAAAAAATTTTATATGAAACTTTACCTACCATTTTTTAGTTTTTATTGTAAGTTTAATCATTTTCACAATTTGTCATAGATGTCAAATAAAAAATATATTTTTTAAATACCTTTTATTGGCAAATAAAATAAGAACTAAAATGTTTTAAATGTTTATTTTATAAGATCAGTCCCATCACAATACATAATATTACACAGACACAAACTAGAATAAAGATATATAATGCCTGGCATTTTAAATGGTACTCTTCGCAGTTTAACATACCCCCTTAACCCCCATTTTTAAGCAGATTGTTTTCACTATCAATAGGCCTCACCTCCTTATAGACCTTGATTTTTACTAAAAATTTCATATTGATATTTTTTTATTTTTTTTTTTAATTTCAACCCTCCTTAAATCCCCCATATTTAAATCAGATTTTGTTTTATAATGAAAGGGCTTCTTCTCCTTTTAGAGATTGATGTTTGCTAAAAAATTTTCAGTTAGGATTTTTTTTATATTTTAACCCTCCTTAACTACCCAATATATTCATATTTTTTTCAGTATCAATAGGCTTTATCTTCTTATAAAGCTTCATTTTTACTAAAAATTTCATATTGATATTGCTTTTCGTTTTTAATTTAGGATTTTTTTTTAATTTCAACACATCTTAACCCCCTATTTTTAATCAGTTTTGTTAAAAATAATAGGCTTTGTCCCCTTATAGAGCTTAATTTTTGTTTAAAATTTCCAAGTTCATGTCATTTCTCGTTTTTGACTTATCGTGCAGACAAAAAACGTGACATCTGACAGACAGACAAAGTAAACCTATAATACTCTTCATATAATACTGTATGAAGAGTAGGAAAAAAGTATAAGGTAAAATAAACAATTTAAAAAGTTCAACAATTATATTCAACTTTATAACCTATTTTTTCTTTTGACAAAGAGTTTAGGTTATATCAGAGTTGGGTAGTATCCGGATACTTCTGTATCCGGATACAGTGTCCGGATACTTTATGTGTATCCGAAAGCTGTATCCG